CGTTTCCGTGGGCATGTGGCCGGCATGACTAAACACCAAGGTGCACGGAATGCTGTTACCTTCCCACCGAAGTGGTACCTATTTATCTACTTGCAATTTCTTGCTTTCGAACGGCTAGGGTGGCAGGAGCTGGAACTAGAGACGGGAGCTCACTCCGTCATGCGGCACACTCAAGTCTCGAACTGCTGAACTACTGACCTTCCACAGCCTGCAGTTCAGCGTCTTACCTATTATCTAAACTGGAGCTGCTGGGGATTGAACCCGGGACCTCCTGCATGCGAAGCAGTTGCTCTTACGATTGAGGCACAGCCCCACCCTGCAGGATTTGGGATCTTAAGTGGCAAGCTGTACAATACAGGTAGAGGTGGTCCTTGCACCTACGAACAGGCTGCATTTAGTAGTCTTCTCCATTGCAGTCTCCGCTTTGTTCCCCAAGTGACACACAGTTTAAAATAGTTAAACGATAAAATGCAACAGAGGGAAAACCCGCTCGATACGATGTAATCATTTTTATAATTTGCATTTTATTTACTTTATTTACAGAGCAGCATGAAATTAAAACCAATAGCAAAAGTGAAAGATTAAATTAATTAAACCCACCACATGTAACAGTACAGTACAAAAGTGAGGGTTAATTAAGAACAAACACATGCACAAGCACCATTGCCAGATTACCCCACAACTTTAGGACTGAAGTGTATAGTGTAGAGTCACTGCAAGGACACCGGAAAGCACCACTAGCAAGACTGCCAGAGCATGCAGAGAGAGGCAATTTTGGAATATTCTTCCCTTGGAGACTTGTCAAAACCCAAGCATCATTCAGAAGCATTGTAAAACTTTCATTAAACTAACCACACATTCCAGTAGCTATAAATAAGGAGGGAGTGGGGGAGATAGCCGCGATCTAACAGTGTGTTTTTAAAAATCGTTTTAACCTATTATTAACTACACTGTGGTCGTGGGGTGGGTTTCATTCCCCAACAGTCTCCACACCTACCCACCCAGGTCTCTACACATCTTTGGCCTTCCCTAGCATGTGTTAGCTGGTCACAAAAGAAGAAGAAGAGATTGGATTTATACCCCGCCCTTCATTACCCAAGGGAGTCTCAGAGCGGCTTACAAACTCCTTTCCCTTCCCTTCCCCACAATAGACACCCTGTGAGGTAGGTAGGGCTGAGCGAGCTATGAGAGAAACTGCTCTTTTTCAAGAACAGCTCTGTAGTGTATCAGGCCCTGACAGGGCCGGGCATGCCTGGACTTGTCCAGGCACAAATACCCAAAGCTTCAGACCTAAAGACAATGGGCAAATAGGATCCTAGCCAGGCCCAATGAAAGGGCTAGGTCCTGGCCAAGAGGCCAATAGGTCTCTTGGTTACTGTAAATAGCCTATCGGGAGTGGGCGCTTTGGTGGGCCACAGCCATTTATGCATCTAATGAAGTGGCGGTCTTCAGTCCAGATAAGTGTATGCCTGAACAGAATCGTGTTCGTCTTTGAAGAGCCACTAGATTCCTATTTATTCTTCTGTGAATATTTCTTATACTTGTTATCCAGCTACTTCTTGATATGCTTTCCCCACCCCTCTCTACTCCCCCTTATTGACATATAGGCTTTGGTGGGCCACAGCCATTTATGCATCTAATGAAGTGGCAGTCTTCAGTCCAGATAAATTTATGCCTGAACAGAATTGTGTTCGTCTTTAAAGAGCCACTAGATTCCTATTTATTATTCTGTGAATATTTCTTATATTTGTTATCCAGCTACTTCTTGATATGCTTTCCCCACCCCTCTCTACTCCCCCTATATCTGTGGTTTTAATTCCCCCCTTTTCCCCTCCCCTGTTCTGCCACAAACCCTCTGCACATGTTAACACAGCATGGGTTGCAGAGGACTTTAGCATTGGGGAGCATTATGGGCCACAGTCTGTTCACAGGGGACGCTGACCAGGCCTTCTGTACCTCACTGCCATTCCTCATGGCCTGGAAACACTCCCTAGAACACATTCAGCAAGAGAAAATGTCCAGTGGTTGCACACTGCAGGGGAACATGGGTTGCAACCAATGCTCCCTCTAAGCCATGGAGTCCTGTGAATAAAAATTCTACTTTGTGAGCTACTGGCATTAAAGTTGTGAGCAGGTGATCTGACTACTGCATAAATTAGTTTGCTCTGGAGCCATCCTTTTTGAGCGAAGACAAAAATGTGTGAGCCGGAGGCTAAAATACTGTGCTAGCTCACAATAACTCAGCTTAGAAGGAACACTGGTTGCAATCCACAAACCATCCCCACCAACATCTGGACTACACATCCAGTGGAAAGAGGAGACAGAACTGTGAGAAAATGTCCAGTGGTTGCACACTGCAGGGGAACATGGGTTGCAACCAATGCTCCCTCTAAGCCATGGAGTCCTGTGAATAAAAATTCTACTTTGTGAGCTACTGGCATTAAAGTTGTGAGCAGGTGATCTGACTACTGCATAAATTAGTTTGCTCTGGAGCCATCCTTTTTGAGCGAAGACAAAAATATGTGAGCCGGAGGCTAAAAAACTGTGCTAGCTCACAATAACTCAGCTTAGAAAGAACACTGGTTGCAATCCACAAACCATCCCCACCAACATCTGGACTACACATCCAGTGGAAAGAGGAGACAGAACTGTGAAACCAGGTAGGGATTCTCATCACTGAATACTTCTCCAAAAAAACTCCTTGCAAGCTGAAAACTAGCACAACGCTGAATTTAGAAATGTTCACCCTGCTAAGAAATCATCATTATCATTTGCAAAGTGCCTTTTTTTGTGCCTCTCCCTCCTGCAGCATGATGTGGTATAGTCAATGTCTGGACTACATGCCCAGGGATATAAGGTGGTAGAGTCCTCAAGTGGCAGAATTGTTATGTACGCGGACCGCCACCAGGGGTCCGTGGCAAAGACTGGAGCTTGGCTCCCCTGGACAATAGGAACATAGGATCCTAGTTCCCCCAGCCCCGACCAATAGCCACTTTGGCGGGAAATTCAAACCCTCCAATGGACTAGGGCTGCGCTGGGTGGGAGTGTGTATAGTTGGCCTTGCAGGGCCGTTTTAATTAGTCTTGTGTTAAGTACAATAAACGTGTCCAAGAGCATGTCGTCGTCCGAGTCCTCCATGCGGCGAACCCAGTACTTTTCAAGAATCTACACTATACCAAGTGTGGAGTCTCATTCAATCCCCGGCATCTCCAGTTAAAATGATCAGATGTGAAAGACCTCGGCCTGAGACCCTGGAGAGCTGCTGCCAGTCTGAGTAGACAAGACTGACTTTGATGGACTGATGGTCTGGTTCAGTATAAGGCAGCTTCATGTGTTCATTGCTGAATGTTCCCCTACCTAAAATAACACATTGTTCCCTGGGACTAGAAAATTAAACACAGGGTAGCAGTCTTAAAGGGAGCTGCGGTGGCTAAAGTGGTTAAGACGCTGAACTGCAGGCTGTGGCAGGTCAGTAGTTCAGCAGTTCAAGACCCGGGTGCCGCAAGACGGGGTGAGCTCCCGTCTCTAGTTCCAGCTCCTGCCAACCTAGCAGTTCGAAAGCAAGAAATTGCAAGTAGATAAATAGGTACCACTTCAGTGGGAAGGGAACAGCGTTCCGTGCGCCTTGGTGTTTAGTCATGACCACGGAAATGTCTTCAGACAGCGCTGGCTCTTCAGCTTTGAAACGGAGATGAGCACCGCAACCCTAGAGTCGGACTCAACTGGCTTTCGAGCAAGGGAACCTTTACCTTTAACAGTCTTAAAAGTAGCATGAAGTGGTAAAGTCCCCCCGGGAGTCTAACCACCTAGGGCTGCCTCCTATCCTCTAGGTGGGGCCTGACACCCTCCTGGAATGACAACTAATCTCCATCTTACAGGGATCAGCTTCCCTGAAGGAAATGGGACCTTCAGAAGGTTGCTGCTATGGCATCACAAGGGCTGCCAGGTCCCCCGGGAGGGGCGGGGGATTGCCTGCCCAAAGGGGCCCCCAACCCGTTGGTCCGGATCAGGCCGGCGGGGGGAACCCCGCTGCCAAAGTGCCCGGTTCTGCCGTGCCTGGCGCGATGACATCACCCGGAAGTGACGTCATCATGTTGGGCACGTCACTGGCTGACGCTCTAGCAATCAGCTTGAAAACCCTAAAGTTTCCAGGCTGATTGCTAGAGCGTTGGCCGGTGAAGTGCCCAATGTGATGACAAAGTGCCCAATGTAATGACATCACTTCCGGGTGACATCATCATGGCACGCTTCACGTGGGAATGTCCCACACAGGGGCCAACTAAGTGACTTGGCAACCCTACATCACATTAGGGTTGCCAGCCTCCAGGTGGGGGCTGGAGATCTCCTGGGATTGCAGCTGATCTCCAGAGAATCAGGTCCCCTGGAGAAAATGGCTACCCTGGAAGGTAGACTCTATGGCATCAGGCCCCAAACCCTGCCCTTCCAAGGCTCCACTTCCGAAATCTCGAGGTATTTCACAAGAGTGAGTTGGCAGCCCTACATCACATCCCTACTGAGCGCCCAGGCTCCACCCTCAAATCTCCTGGAGTTGACAGTCCTATAACCAATGTTCTCTCTAAGCTGTGGAGTCTTGTGAGCAAAACGTATTCTTTGTGAGCTACTGCCATTAAAGTTGTGAGCGAGCAATTTGGCTGCTGCATAAATTAGTTTGCTCTGGAGCCATGCTTCCTGAACTAAGACAAAAATGTGTGAGTTGGAGGCTAAAAAACGGTGAGCTAGCTCACACTAACTCAGCTTAGAGGGAACACTGCCTATAACCACCCCATTTTAAAGGCCTTGGCAACCCAGAATTCTATTCGCCAGCCACTTTCCCCCCTCAGCTTGAAACCGCCATTACGGGTTGCCTAGGCAACCCCCACCCTCTCGCCCACGGGCTCCGTCTTCCCTCCGCTCCCGCCTCGCCCAGTCCCCGCCCTTCCCTGCCCCTCCAATCCCCGCCCCCTCGGCGCTCCGTCACTTCCTGGAGGCGGAGGCGGACCGCGGGGGAGCCCCTTGGTGACGCGGGCAGGGCGGGGCGAGCGGCTCCGTGATGGCGGCCGGGCTGCAGCCGCGACGACTCCGGGGCCCTGCGTGGCGGCAGGCGGCGGGACTTCCGCGTTGCTCCTGAGGGAAGCGCCCGGGCTTTGCGCTGATGGGGAGCGGCGGTTGCGGGAGAGGGCGGCAGCAGCGGCAGCAGCGCTTTTGAGCGAGAGGCGGGGGGAGGAAGCCGAGCCCAGCCTCGCTTGCAGGGGGCTGAGACCCACCGTCGGGCCGGCCGGCTCGCTCGGGGGGATGTGGCGCTGGATCCGTCAGCAGCTGGTAAGTGGGGAGGGGGCCGGGCCGGACCCACCTCCTTCCCCTGCAACAACTCTTCGTAGCAGGAGAAAAAGAGCAAGAGTCCAGCAGCAGACTAACAGAATTTGGGCAGCAGACTAACAGAATTTGTGGCAGGGCGGGAGCGGTCGCTGGCTCACCTCTTCAGCAGCAAAGAGCCACAGTCCAGCAGCCCCTTAAAGGCAAACAGGAGATGTTGGCGGCCCCAGTGCTCCCTCTAAGCTGCGGAGTCTTGTGAGCAAAAATTCCTACTTTGCGAGCTACCGGCATTAAAAGTTGTGAGCAGTGTTCCCTCTAAGCTGAGTTAGTGTGAGCTAGCTCACCGTTTTTTAGCCTCCGGCTCAGACATTTTGGTTTTAGCTCAGGAAGGATAGCTCCAGACCAAGCTAATTTAATGCAGTAGCCAAATTGCTCACTCACAACTTCAATGCCAGTAGCTCACAAAGTAGAATTTTTGCTCACAAGACTCCACAGCTTAGAGGAAACTTTGGTTGTGAGCGGGCGATTTGGCTGCGGCATCAATGAGTTGGCTCTGGAGCCGTCCCTTCCCGAGCCAAGAGAAGAATGTGTGGGCCGGGGGCTAAAAAACTGAGCAAACTCACACTAACTCAGCTTAGAGGGACACACTGGCGGCAGGGCAGGGGCTTTTGTGAGTCCCTGGCTCACTTCTTCGGGAGAAAAGAGCAAGAGTCCAGTAGCACCTTCAAGACAGACAAAATATTCGGCCAGGGCAGGAGCTTTCGGGAGTCACTGCTCACTTCTTCAGCAGAAAGAGTCCAGCAGCAGCTTCAAGACAGACAAAATATTCGGCCAGGTCAGGAGCTTTTGTGAGTCCCTGGCTCACTTCTTCAGGAGAAAAGAGCAAAAGTCCAGTAGCACCTTCAAGACAGACAAAATATTCGGCCAGGGCAGGAGCTTTCGGGAGTCACTGCTCACTTCTTCAGCAGAAAAGAGCAAGAGTCCAGCAGCAGCTTCAAGACTGACAAAATGTGTAGCAGGGTAGGAGCTCTGGGGAGTCACTGCTCGCTTCTTCAGGTACTTCTTCAACAGAGCAGTGACTCACAAAAGCTCCTGCCACATATATTGTTAGTTTTGAAGGTGCCACTGGACTCTTGCTCTTTTCTACTGGTGGATTCGAGCCCAGTAGCACCTTAGAGACCAAAAAGCATTTTGGATTATGAGCTTCCCAGCATCAAAACGCCCTTTGTTAAACAAGTTAGACTAATACTGCTAAGAAGAATTGATTGGATTTATACCCCGCCCTTCACTTGGAGTCTCAGAGCGGCTTACAAACTCCTTTCCCTTCCCCTCCCCACAACAGACACCCTGTGAGGTGGGTGGAGCTGAGGGAACTCTGACACAAACTGCTCTTTTTCAAGGACAGCTGTGCCAGAGCTTGTGACTGACCCAAGGTCACATCAGCAGGTGCACGTGGAGGAGTGGGGAATCAAACCCGGTTCTCCCAGATTAGAGTCCGCACACTTAACCACTACACCAAACTGGCTAAATAGTAAAAAGCCCAGTAGCACCTTGAAGACTAACGAACTTGATTGTAGCATAAGCTTTTGAGAAACACAGCTCTCTTCGTCAGGTGGAACTAGTCCTGCTGCTTCAGACCAAGACGGCTACCCTCCTGAAACTAATTTATATTGTTCTGCCCTTCCCCCTCCCCCATTTAAGGCATGGACCAGAGCAGCTTGTCTGTCTTAAATTTCAGTAGCACCTTAAAGACTAACCAAATCTGTGGCAGGGTAGGAGCTTTCGTGAGTCACTGCTCACTTCTTCAGACTTCTCACGAAAGCTCCTCTCCTGCCACAAATTTTGTTAGTCTTTAAGGTGCTGCTGGGCTCTTGATCTTTTCTACTGTTGGATTTGAGTCCCAGCAGCGCCTTAGAGACCAAAAAAGTGTTTTGGTTTTGGGGTATGAGCTTTTGAATGCCAAAGCTCCCTTTGTTAGATGAATTTCACTAATTCTGCTGTTTCATTAGTTCTGCTGCTTCAGACCACACGACTACCCACCTCTTTTCTACTGCTACAGGCAGACTAACATGGCTACCCATCTTGATCTGTCTTAAATCTGTTGTCTTTATGCTTTTTGGATTTCTGCCTGGGGTTCTTGGCAAGAGATGAGGTAGAAATATTTTCCATAAAACACAATTTCCCTTCTGAAGCTTCGCTCTCCCACCCCAAGCTTTTCTTCTCCTCTTCTTCCCTGTTCTCTCTATTCCTTCTTCCCCATAAGAGTTTATTTTAAATCATTCTCTCATCCTTCTTATATCTGCTTCTTTTAGAGAAGGATGCCAGGGATTGAAGTTGGGACCCTCTTGCACATGCTTTACCATTGAACCCTGCCCTCTCTGTTATTGAGTCTTGGGCTCCTAAGGATCCCAAGTCTGTGTTTACACACAAATTCCCACCTTTGGGCTTGACGCCTGTCACAGAAACCATCTTTCCCCTCACTTAGCTTGTGCTGTCAAGGTGTGGCTCCCCCCCACCACCACCACCACACACAGTCTGTTCTCTTCTTCGAAAGCTTCTCTACATTTCGTGAGTGTTGAGTTTAAGGTGTTAGAAGCCCGCACCTGAAAATGTCAAGTGTGCACGTGACACATCTGTGTCTACAAGCACAGGCACACATGCTGGAGAGCAGGGATTGGCTGCAGCTCCTTGGGGAGAGTTTGATCTGTGCAGTGCATGAGCTAGCCCTTCCCTTTATGTGTTCTGGGACTCTCTTTATGCCTCCTTGTTCCACTGCTTGCACACACTTGCTGTTGTGTCCACACAGGCACCCTCCCCTCCCTCTCAGGTGTTGGAGTTAGTTTAGTAGGTGGGCGACTGAGCTAATCCTTGTCAGAAAATGGGGTTGTCAGCATATGAAAAGAAAGTTCCTGGCTAATCACAAACGGAGACATTTCAACTTCAGGGTAGTTACGGGAAAGTACCACCGAATTGCAAGATTAAATTGCGAAAGTGGTGTTACAACACAGATGCGTTCCCGCTTCTGGGGGTTGGAGAATTACGTTCACTTCTTCAGCTGAGCTTGGCAGTTCTGTTGGCTTGCCCTTGGGAACAAGCTCAGGCTTTTGAAACAAGACTTCAGAGATTAATATCATCCAGAGATTTCCCTGTTGTCAATAAAAGTAATTTCTAATTTTACAGTGAATCTCATCAAATGCAGCATTCCGGTTTCAAATTACTGGCTTTATCTAGGGGTAAAAGACGTTTTAGTGTTAAGAATGTTAATTTAAAGTATATCTTTTATCATTTGTAATACATTGTTATTGCATAAAGTGAAAACAATAAAAAATATTTAATAAAAAAAAATGAAAAAAAAAATGCAGCATTCCCAGATTATTTAACTGGGAGTAAGCTTCTTTAAAATGGGCACACCTGCTGTCCTGTTTCAAAGTATAAAACTGGGCTGTCTGCAGTGGGAAATTTGTGAAGATTTGGATTAGACTTCTTCGGCTGTTACTTTTTGAATCTGCCTTGCAATTTGGTTTGGCAAACTGTTTAATCTGAATGGTGCATCTGGATGGTTTCCTTTTGCTTGCTCTCTTCCTTTAGAGAGAGAAAAAAAATCCTGTGTACTAGTTTCCATTTCGATTCTCAATCCTCCGGCTCTTAAACATTTACAATAAAATGAGTAGCCATGTGATTTTTAAACCAAGCCACAGCCTTCCTGTGCTTTATAGCAAACGATTTGCTTAGAAAGTACGAATGGAAGGGAGCTTCTCCCCCCCCCCATGAATTGTGCATTTACGCAATAATAAGTGTAATGAAATACAGTAACTGAGATGAAAAAGTCTACAGCTCATTCACAAAAGAAGTAAACACTCAGGTATTGATTGCCTCTTTATGAATTGACCATACTCTAAACTGCAGTAGCACTAGCATTCCTGTAATTTATAGTAACGCTGTGCGCCGAGTGAAGAGAATATGCTTCAAGCACTTCCATTATATTTTACAATTAGCTTGTTTTGTGATTGATCATATCTGGATGGGGTTTTAGCTTTAGAGGAAAGTAACATGGAATGATTTGTTTTGATACTCCTGGGATGTTTATGTAATTTTTCAAGCTGTTTAAAAAGGAGACTCACCTTTTGACTTAGGAGAAAAAAAGGCTAGCCTAATTAAACTATTTGCGGCACGGAGCTAGACCTTATATTTTTTTTTGTGGATCATGCTGTTTATTGTTTGGGTTAAATGCCAGAGCCGTATCCTACCAAAAGAAAACAACGTTTATGTCGTAGGGAAATTATTTGCTATACTACCCCCCCCCCCGACTTGCTTTGTCTAGCAAGATGGATTCTGTCTGGTGCACGGTAGCTGTTAGAGCGGTTTAAGTTATTGGTCTGGCTTTATTATTACTCCATCAGGAATCATCAGTGCACATATACACATTTACCAGCTTCCTTGATTAGTCTGAGTTAAGCAGTCGGTAGCTCTTTAGTGCAATAATCCCCAAACTCCACATCAAGAAACAACGGCTAATGTCCTGTGAGAAATAATGTAATCATTCATGTGAGTCCAAAGCAACATCTTTAGAGGAGGCTGTCTTGCTTCATCTCTGTATGATCTCTTGCTCTAGCCTGGGTCACGCCCAGAATGTTGGCTCGCACGGATGCATCAGCATATCTGAGGCCGATTATCTCACATTGAAATGTATAGATTTTTGTTACCCTTCTGCTCTTTGAGGGGCTCAGATTTATCATGTTCTGTTACAACACATGTAATTAACTGAGCTTTCTTCTGTTGAAGGCCTCCATTGTGTGTTTGTTCTGTTACATCTTCTGGTTACTTTCATGTGGCTAAACAGTGATTTCTAAAGTAATCTGTGATCTAACCTAAGAGAGGTAGTGTGGTGTAGTGGTTAGAGTGTCGTACTAGGATGTGGGAGACCAGGTTTGAATCCCCACTTGTGCCATGGAGTTTGTAAGCCGTTCGGAGACTCCGAGTGAAGGGCAGGGTATGAATCCAATCTC